AAATTACCGTCATTAATTTTCTAAAAATCTTCCCGTGGTACTAAAAACAATAAATAAACTTAGTGAAAACACCTGAAAATTACGCAAAATGCTTTTGGAGACATAACGCACACGATTTTAGGGGGTAATGCGTCCCAATAACAACTCGATTGTTGACCGAAAATTTCAGAAAATGCTATAAAATGAATTTGCCCGAAGCGAAAACTGGTTCAAAAATAGTCTGAAAGGCAGAAAATGTTGCTGCCGACTAGCAATTGTCATTCTGGGTTTGTGATGGAGCTAAAACTTCAAAGCATCTTACCTTATATAAAAAGGTCCTTTTTTTAACGCCTCATCAAAAAACGTCTGCACATGCCACTTACAATATCCCGAATGGACCAGAATTTCAAACGTTCAAGTTTCCAGCTGGTATAGATGAACAAAAGCTTGTCAGAAAGTTCGATATAAACCCACACATACAGATATTATAAGTAAACCCACATGTAAAACCCAACAAGTATCATTGCTTAATATTTCCTCTTCAAGAAATTTTTCTATAGAAGTTTTATTAAAGTAGGAGAAATTTTCTCGCCAAGTAGAAAAGAGCTATCAAACAACTCTCTAACACAAAATAGATTTCTAAATTCTCCAACGGATTCCTAAATTAAAAAATAGTGACCATCACGTGTACAATTTTACTAATTATGATCAATTTCAGTACTAATTCCACTCTGCGTTTTGATTGTCCTGCTAGTCGATATCGTTTTAGTTTAAGATCTTCTTGGTGCCCAATTTTTATGCTAGCAGCAATGAACCAACCTGGATTGAACTCGCAGCAACCATTACCCTGGTTCAATCAGAGTTACAACAAAAGTTTGTTTTTTAGCTCTGAGTGATACATATTTCATTGAAAGTTACAGCTATTTTGTTTTTGGCTCTCAGGTTATATTTCGATTCTCTGCTCAGGAGAAAAAGTGCGGCTTTTTCCATAAAGGTAACTTCAGATCACAGAAAATATTCTGAAAACGAAAACTCTGTAAGCCATGAAAATTAAAAAACCAAAAGATAAGCAAATTTTTTATGTCGATCAGTTTTTCTTTTTGATTTTCTTAAACTGTTCAAACTGCAGAAATAATATTTTTTTGATATTTTGATATTCTGATCTTGTAGTTCATTACTGTTGATTCTACATTTATTTAAGATTTTTTAATTGTTTTTTTTTACTCATTGGGAAAAGTGTTTAACATAGAACAAGAAACGTGATCCTGACTTTTGTGATAAAAACTAATTATCTTTTTTCACCCACGCTTTCATTCGTTTTGACAGTTTTTTTATTATAACTTCACACTAAATTGATAGTTCTTTGATATTTTTTTAATTGGTTATAATCAAAAATCACTTCCCTGATAAAGCGAGAATGACAGAACGAGCTGCAATTAGGATACGCTTCCAATATGTCACCAAACTTAGACGAATCGTTTTAAGAAGCCAGAGAAGTCAAAATTTGAAAAAATTAATAGACCTGCTAAATGCTACAAGCATATCCGGAACGTGTTTGTTATGTTGAAAAAATTTCCACAGTTTACTATCATTAGTGAATTTATCCACAGTGCTGTTTTTTAGTTTGAACAATAGTAGATCTAAAGTTTTCTCAATGAAGATGTGAAGTGTGGGGCGCCTTTTGATGATTTTTCAGGATGATCACATCATTTTTTTTCGAGTTTTAACAAAACACTAATTTGCTGATAGGGCGCAAAATTTGGTGCGCGCCATGCCAGTTTTTGAAGAAAAACAACAGGGTAAAAATTATACTTTCAGTTTTTGTTAGTTGTTGCTAGATATGAATACGATCAATGTGGCAGCACATCTGCTGGATATTAGCATGAAGCAGTTTTGGTTCAAAATTTTGGTTCATCGCTAAAAAAGATTAAAAAAAACTAGAACGGGCATTCTTGTTTAGGCAAAAAGCATTTTTGTGGGAAAAAAACACCTAAAATGTTTTTGACGCTTCTTGTTTTGGAAAAAAATGACAAAACTTCTTATATTAGAGCCTTGGACATCATAAAAGATGTCAACATCAACTCTCAACAAATCGCCAAATTTCGAAAAAAAAACAACTGATTGTTGAACGACTGAAACACTGTCAGTAATTTTTCTGGTAATCAAATTTTGAACTTCTTACTGAAAATGGCTCCTTTATAAAAACCCGATGCGGATGCGGATTCAATTTGTTGATCTTTTGTTGCATAAAAAAACTTAAAATATGCATCACAATACAACTCTACTGGGGAAGAAAAAAAAATCCTATAAATTTGAATTGATTTTGAAATTTTAAAAACTCTTTTCTCATTATTCATAGGAACCAACGTCTACAAAAATTATAAAATATAAGCAATTTAGATGCAACTTCGAAGACAAAATGGACAAACCAAAGGGAATATAATCAATTATAATCGATTAAATAGATTTTAGTGCAAAACCCATTTTAGTATAAAAATTAAAAATTTGAATAAGAATAATGGATTACAATCAATTATAATTGATTATAATTGTATCAAAAAATAGACGAATGAATAATCGATTATAATTGATTATAATGAAGTATAATCAATTATAACTTGATTTTAAAAGGGAGATTATAATAGATTATGAATTGATTAAAATCGATTGTTTCTCAATTTTAGTAAGACTGGTACTAAAATTGTAAGATAAACTATTATTAACGCCTGTAACTGGATGCGGGAAGTTATCAAGGGTAAAAAAGTGTTTCAAAAACCAGCACATAGGTTTGATTGTTCTGTGTAAATCGCTTCGTATTAATTGTGGTAGATCTAACTGAATGGGAGGAAGCCTTTTCCGATAGAACAGATAGCACGCGCATTGAAAATAATTAATTCTGTCTTTCAGCTAACATCAATTCAGTTTCACTTTGTATCAACGCAAATATTTGAAGACCTAAACATATTTTTTCTCATCATTCCGACTTTCGACGAGAGTGCTCGAATGTTTGTACTCGGGAGATTGGTTTTTCTCCAGACAAATTTTAACTATTAACTGGAAATTTTGACGGAATTTTTTTCACATAAACCGAAAAGTATTGACGTTGTGAGCTCGTATTTAAAAAGATGTTTAAACTGTGATCATTTTTTCTGGAAAAAAATGTGGGTTTAAAGATTGTCAGTTTGGGGATAATAAAAGTGCGATATCTTTCGTGCTATTAACGCGTAAGCGGAGATATAATCCGTCTTAGAAATCGCTCCGAGTTAAATTGAAGCATAGTTTCTCGTCAATTCAAAATGTTGCTCAAAGCAAAATATATCACTTTCTTCTTAAGATATTGTGTGGGGTGAAGTAATGCAAACAAAACATCTCAAGAAAATTATTTTGAAGTTATACCTTTTTTGAAAACCCTTTAAAAATTTTTGAAAAGCGAATACTAACCACGCTTCATAAGCCTTAAATTGTAGCTGGAACAGTCAAGGTTTTGCGCTGATAGGAGCAGTCTAATTACTATTGATATTTGAAATGCGGAACAAGCATAACCATATAACTAATCGATTAAAAGCATCTATCAATCCCGTTTTTCTTCAATAAAAAGGAATTGTGACTTGGATGGAGTAAAAACTTATTGGTTTGAAGTGCGTGAACAAAATTCAGTTATGCTCATCTTGTCCGGATATTTTTGCAGTCTAAGTATCAGAAAAATTTCATAAAGGTAGTTTTGCACCCATTGTGATCCAAAGAGCATGGGGTGTTCTCAATTGTCACTACAGCAGTAGCTTATCTCGCATAATTGATTACAAACAAGTTCATACAGACATGGCAATGGGCCGGAGCAAGGCCCTGGCCTCAAAAAGGGTCAATGGGCCGCAATGCGCCAAATTTCTCTTTCTAGATTTTACTAAGCACCTGAATGCTAATTTTAATTTTTTTAATACGTACATTTTTCAGTGTGCTCTATTAGTAATTATATGTTATTTAGTGATATATTACTGTGTTGATAATATTTTGCTTTGCTTATAACTTACGTAACTTCCTTATGAACTATGTTTTAGCACCGGGCCACAATGCGCGGAGAAATTCATCCCAATGGACCACTAACGGGCCGAGAAATTTATCCCAACAGGCCGCTAAGGGGCCGAGAAAGTCATCCCAATGGACCTCTGTGCTGGATGAAAAGTTGTCGTCCAAACCTTAATTTCGAATATAATTTATGCAAAAAATTCGAAGAATTTCCGACTTTTAATCGGCTCAAAACATAAACAATTTCTTTAGTTAGGCAACTTTAAACAGCACCAATTTCGAGCGTGAGAGTGCGTTCACCCCTTGGCAAAAGACGGCTTTATTGACAGACAAAAACCCGTCAACCAAGGTCGGCCAAGGCAGTTTTACGAACTGAATTGTTAAATTTTACTAAATAAACAAAACGGGTTTTAAGGGTTCGAACCCGGTTACGAAGGGTCGGTTCTTATTTTCCCAATGGACCGCAAAAGAGCCGAGAAACTCATGCCAATGTGCCGTTAATGGGCCCTGAAACTCATTCTAATGATCTGCTAACGAGCCGAGAAATTCATCCCAGCTTTTTCACTTGTTTGTATATAACAGGACGATGACTTGATTACTTAAATTAGCCGGGTTTTCTAGTTTTACTTAGTTCAAGTTCACACCAAGAATTGCCAAAGGGATTTTCTGTTAATGCGCATGTTTTATGCGCAGATGCCTTTGTCGATTTATATTTTTCTGATGTAAACTGATGGTGTTATAACGTCAATTATTCGTTTATCGTTATTTAAATGACCATATTTAGCGAATTATAACCATATTTAACAATTATTCGTCTTCAAACACGAATTTTCAAGCAAGCCTTTTTTGATTTTTGGTGTCGTTGAAGTAATGGTTTAAACATTAGCAGTTCGTTTTGTATCATATCTATAAATACTTCACTATAACCGGTTATGGTATAAATGTATATACCATCGCTTCTGAACTCGTCCTCCCTTTATTCAGCCAATAAAAATTTAAATGGCCTAACGTCATCTGTTCATCTGTATCAGACTTTCAATGTGCACAGACAAAAAAATAAAATTAGTTGTTACGTTACACCAACGAGTCGTAATATTTTGCCTCCAATGTTCTTGAGAACACACCAATTGTCATTGTCTTACACCAAATGATCACTTCTATCATGCTTCTGGCATTTGCTTACTTGTTCAGCTATTTCCTTGCTTCAGTTTATGGAGACTCAACCAACCAATTGGAAGCATGTGAAAAGAACAGGACTCCCTTTGGATATCTTTACAGCTCTGGAAGCTACTATCCAGGTGATTCAAATCCTCCAAAAACAGTTCCAATTCAGATAAATTCTTAATAAAAGTCTTAGTCAATCTTCATAACAAAAAGTGTGATAAACTTTCGTGTTTAAGGGTTCAACGGTACAGACTGTAAGTTTGGGTACAGTTTGTTCAATCACAAGACACCCAAGCTAGACTTGTCTGATTCCCAGATGACAAAGGATCTCAAAAACAATTCAATATGCCTCGAGCATATCAAAATGCAGTAAGTTTCATTTTTGTAAATCTTATAAAAAGGTCTATTGGAGACGGCCGTTTGCCACATAATCAAAATTTCAAACTCCGTGGAAAAACATAGGAGAATATCGATCGGAGAGGGTTTTGTTTCGATTTTTAAAACTGAACAAAGAATAACCCGAAAGGCCGAAACGAAGTGTTCCCACTTGAATATTTTTCTCGCATCTAGTTCGAGTGATATAAATGAATGATTGAAACTTTTTGCAGGAGTGGAAATGATCCGGCAGAACTCTATGGAATCCACGTTGAGCTGGTCATAGAGGGAAAATTGAAACCACGAGGATGGCCCATTTTGTTTGAACAAACTCACACAGAGTTCATGTTCAAGCAGTTGAACTTGACTCTGACGAGTGGATTGGAAGAGAGAGGCACAATGTTCTGTCTGGAACTGCAACACTTCAACCTGACAGTTCATTCCACTAGTGAGTTACATAAAATGATACCGTTCAAGATACCTCGAATAAGAGAGGATACACCACCACCTGACGATAGGCAATACCAATCAGAAGCATCATGGATAATTGAAACAATTAGTACACGGTAATTACTGAAGTGCAGTAAATTGACGTCCATTTAGGTAGAAGATTTGTATAAACTTGAAAAAATGTCAGTGAAGTTTTTAACCCAGAACAGCTGGGTTCAAAAAAGGGTATGAATTTTTGAAATAAAGGAAAAGTAATTAATTTAAGAGATCTTAGACCCATGTGACTAACCCACTGATTCAAAATATAAGTATTCCCGCTGTTTCAGGTGGCATGATAGAGGTGTTGGTGTGGATAGATGCTCTCCCAATCGACTATTCAGATTCATACCAGGCGAGATGGATAATAGGAGATATGGCGCCAATCTCGATACGAGGAGGTGGAAAAGAGTCTGATTCGGTGAGTCTTTTGAGTTGATTCACGATATAGTCCAAGCTTTCCAAATTGTCTATTCCCATATTGGGAGAAAATGTGATTTTTTTTTCTTCAAGTTAAGGTAACTGTGAAATATATAACAAGACTATTTGAGATAATCAAAGCTGTATACATGAATGTGCATTAATGTACATTGGCCTACACAAATTTTTCGGCTCATTCACGGCAAAAAATAATTTCAGTTAAAAATTAGAATTAAAAACTTGCAAAAGATCAACTAAACAATCCTGGTTTGAAGAACCCTTGATTTTTTCTTAATTATAGACCACTAATCGCGCCTGGGGTCTTTTTACTTATTCCGCCTAAACATCAATATTTCAACACTTTGAACTAAAACTAATTTGCTTCAATCTGATATTGGCTAGAATTAGCCTATCAAATTTCAGCAACATTGCAAAATGTTTAATTCACAATTTTAAATCGACTCATAAATCAGCTTAAAATTGTAGAATGTTTGGTTAACTATTCAAATTTTTTTAGTTTTAAACAGACCGGAAAATAACTCAGAAAAAAAGGCAGACGATAAAAAACAGCTCCGGGAAAAAATGACCACCTTCACATCTGCTCAAAATTCGGTTTGTTAAAAATTGGCTAAAAAGATCGCAATTGCTTTAACCAAACCAATCAGTGCAATCATTGTACTTGTTCTCGCCCGCACCGAGCGCCCATGGATCATAATCGATTATATTGTCATAATATGGTCAGCATCTATAAAATGACATAATAATCGATTATAATCCATTAAAAATGGATTATAATCTTAAAATTTTTTATCCCAATAAAATCCATTATAATCGATTATAATCGATTATAATGGATTTTTTCGAGGGGTTATTCTTGAAATTTACAATTTTGTTCAAAATTATCTCATTTCCTGTTTAGTGTAGTTGCTACGTGTTATGTTTCATAAAGTGTTACATTTAAGAAAAAAAATTATTTAGGGAGGGGGGGGGGGGGGGGGGGTTAAAAGCTTGAGGGGCGAGGGGACGAAGTTGAGACATGGCATTTAGTAAAAGACAGGGCATAAATTCTGCAAACTTCTCGCAAAGTTTGAAAAATTTTGCAAAAATAATCGAATTTAGTTCTAAAAATGAAATGGATTATAATCAATTATAATTGATTATAATGGATTTTCACTACAAAAATAATCGATTATAACGGATTATCTTGGCAAAAAAAAATCGATTTCAGTGACAAAAATAATGGATTATAATCGATTACAATGGATTATAATGGATTATATTTGTTCAAAATAATCGATTATAATGGCTATATAATCGATTTCCTGGTCTGAATTTTACATCCGTAATGGATTATAATCGATTATTTTTGTTTCGGGAATCCATTATAATCGATTAGAATCCAAGGGCGCTCGGTGCGGGCGGCATTTATACTTTGAATGGGGTATTCTCATGGAGGGACCGATTGATGGAAAAATTTAAACTAATCTGGAGATCAATACATGCTGTGTTAGTTCGAATCAGCAGAAACTGTTTTTTTAATGTAGGTTACACGGTTTGTAGTTTGTATAATAGTCAATCTGTAATACAGTAAACTGTTTTATTGCTTAAAAACGCACGCAAGCACGCAAAAGCACAATATCATATTGTTTGTTTTCAAACGTTGAGAAACCGCGATTTCGTTTTGATACGTGATTTACGGGTGCGGCTATTTTCGGTGAAAACTATTTTGGGCGAAAATGAGTGTCAAAATTAGGCGAAAATTTTGATTAAAAATGTGTACATTTTAGCAGAAAATTTTAAGTGATTACTTATGTTATTCCATTTTTACATACAAAATATACCAATGTGTACCAACAGAGGGTAGGACTATTTACGAATATATCTCACCCGCTACCTTGAAATGACAAACGGCTTCGTAGTCTTTAACCGCTTCCTGTCAATGTATGGAAAATTAGGGGGATTTTTGATAAAATATATACTTTTGTTATCAAAATTTTTACCTAAATTTATCATTTTTATTTTCGCCTAATGTAGTTTTCGCCTAATTAATACAGCCTCGTGATTTACACCACACTATTCACGTATAATTAGCAAAGAGTAAAAGAATTTAGCTTCCATGATTGAGAAGGATTTCGAACGAGGTAGATTCATCATGCTGCTTATGCATTATAGATTCAAACTTGAAAAAACTGAGTTTGACCTGTTGTCTGGGCATACCTAAGGGTGCTTTGACTGCCCCTACCCCCATTATTTTGTGCAGTATTTGTGCTTCATTCAAGCTATGAAACCTAAAATTTGTATCAAAAAACTAGAATCTCAGGCTACAAATGTTTGATTTGCGCTTAGTTGGAAAAGGCAGAAACAATCAAGTTTCCAAAATATCAATTCTTTTGGTCACTACTGCTAAAAACATTATTTCCAAAAATGAACAGAAGAAGAGTAATGCGAGCAATATTAGTCCTCTTATTATCAACCCTTCGGGGTAGTCTGGCAGTTCAAAAACAAAGTGAATTAGTGAATACCAGCTGGTATACTATGTTGTGATATGCCACGAGTCATATTTTATTGTTCATAGATAATAAAAAGTCCGAACATAACATTATATTACAGGTACACGGGGGCTTCACATTTGATCCCAGCGTGATTGGAATCTTGGCTGGATTCTTCATTTCCATCTTGATTCTACTGGCTGTCGGGATCTACAGCGGAAACAGACTCCCCTGTGAAAAGAATGAATCTGCAGTGTAAAATGACACACTGAATCAAATACAAACAACTTGATTCAGGTCATTGAAACGATACGCAAAATAGTACACTGCTCCACAGCTGGCCACGAAACTAGAATGCAACCAGTACCCCGAACCTCCATCCATGAGCAAACGAAATACCTTCATCAATGCCGGAAATTTCGAGAACGACTGGCGTCAAGTTTTGAGAGAAGTTGAGAACACGACAGCAAAATTTAGAAACTCGAGAGAAATAGAAACTGGAATTCATAATGGATCACTTACGAAACTTCAAAAACAAATAAACTTCATAATAGCTAACTTAACAATTTTAACTAACACAAATGCATGCTTAGATAGCAGACAACCAGGCTAATTGTTCCGACTTTCGATACAAAGTAACGGAATATTTGTGCTCGGGGTGGGTTTTTTTGGGGGCGTTAGACAGTGCCGAAGTTAGAGAGTGCCGAAAAAGGCGGGAAATATTGGAACGCAATTTAAGAGGCTAGCTTTTGGCGGGAAAATTACTAATGACACTTGAAACTTGTTCAGACTCAATTTTGGCGCCAAAATCGATGAGCAAACAAAACTTTCTTTTCTTTTCTCAATTAGTTCACGACAAATAAATTTGTTCAGACTCAATTTTGGCGCCAAAATCGATGAGCAAACAAAACTTTCTTTTCTTTTCTCAATTAGTTCACGACAAATAAGTCAGTTTCTGCACTCTTTAACAAATTTTCGGCACTCTTTAACAAATTTTTGTTTTCGGCACTGTCTTACCCAACCGTTTTTTTTTCTTCAGACAAATTTCGACTTTTTAACTAGCCGTTTTTGACGGAATTTTTTTGATATCATTCGAAAGCTATTGTTGTCTTGAGCTTGAGTTTGAAAAGATATTTCACCTGTGATCATTTTTCGTAAAGTTATGGGGGTTTAAAGATTGCCATTTTGGCCAATTTGGGATATTTTACGCGCGATAAATTTCGCGCTATTAACGCGTAAGCGAGATTTAATCCGTCTTAGAAATCGTTCCAAATTGGTTCAAGGAAGCTTATATGCCATAATTGATTTGTTAATAGGCGCAAAATCTATCACTTTGTCCTTAATATGACGTGTGGGGGGATGTTTTTACATAAAATCTCAAATTTTTTTTTAAAAAAAGTTTTTTATTACATTAAACGTTTTCATCTTATTAATGCTCCATAGACCTTAAAAGGCAGTCGGAACTTTCAGGGCTTCGCCCTGATAAAAGCAGTCTTGTTTAGTTAGTTTTTAGTTTGGATCAACTTGAAGAGAAAAGAACTAGTCATACAAACTGAGAATTGCTGCGAAACAGTTTATATGAATATAAATTATTGAGATAGATATAAAATGTAGTTTATTAAATATATTCAGTTATGAAACTATAACTTTCTAATCTATGATAAGATAGATGGAGGACATATGCTTCACATGTGTAAAGGAAGTTCCAAGATATGAGCGGGGATGTAGTTGGACAAGAGAGTGTCGATGGAGTCGGAGATGAGAGCCAGCTGGCGCATGAAGTGCAGCACCTGCACTCAAAAAAATGTTAAGGTAAAATTACCCTAAATAAGTTAAGGTAAAAAGCAATTAAGGTAAAATTTACCCTAACATTACCTTAATTTTACCTTAAAAAATTGTTAAGGTAAAATTTACTTAAACTGAATTAAGGTAATTTACCTTAACTTAACCTTAATTTTAAGGTAACTTTAATTTTAATTTTAATTTTTAAGGTAAGTTAAGGTGTACTTAAGGTAGTGCAAATTTACCTTAATTGTTAAGGTGTTTTCAGGTGTTTTTTAAGGTAAATTTACCTTAACTTTTTTTTGAGTGTGGGACAGGTCAGAAGGAAGTTCGGAGAGGGGCTTCGAGGGGTCACCAGAGGGCAAGCGAGACACCGATGACGTCAGATATGAGCCCATGTACGAGAAAACCTCTAGGAGCACCTGTGAAAAGAAGAGTATCACATCGCGCCCAAGCAAAAATGGTCGCATAGATTCAGTCGTTTTAGACCAGACTAACAAATAGGGACCAACAATGAAGGATCGTCTAAGAAAGACAAACATAGATAGATAGATAGAGAAAGAGAGAGAGAGAGAGAGAGAGAGAGAGAGAGAAGAGGGAGAGAGAGTGAGAGATATCGTAGTGAGATATAGAGAAACAGATAGATAGAGAGAGAGAAAGTAGAAGCCTAAGAAGACCTTTTTTTCAAAACATGCCTAATTTCCGTCTAAAATCCCCAATAACCAGAAGTATGATGTCGAAAGATACTAGCCTGATTGTGGAACTGCTTGAGGAATGTGTGCACTCCTAGGACCAACATTCGGGTGTCCGCGTAGTCGGCTGGGACGCCCACTGCAGACGATGAGGAGGGGGAGGGGTTGATGAAGGTGGCCATGTTGCGGGCGAAGGGGGCAGATGCCCTGTTGAGGTGTCCGATCACTAGAAGGGTGGTGA